CCCTAATAGGGCGTTGGGCCTAATCCCAACATTACTCCCCCCTCGGTGTTCGGTTGACGAACTAGGTTGGGAGTCTTGTTAGCACGGTGTTTGACCCTGAGGATGAGGAGTGATGTTTTATGTTCATGTCCGCCCTCACGCACGACCGATCTAGGTGGCCTGAAGCCATCGCGGCCAAGTCTGTTGTGCATGTGTATGCCGGCTTCCTATCGAACAGGCGTGGGGGAGCTGGTGTTAAAACCAGGCTAGCTCGGTGCATGTGTTTTGGGCCATAGCTGAGGTAAAAATGCATGACACAGAGTCATGTGTCATAGCCGTAGCTGAAGTGAAATAGGACTCGGGGTCACTATGGCCGGAGTCGAAGTGAAGCATGTGACACTGGGTCACTGTGGCCTGAGCCGAAGTAAAAAGTGTGACACTGGGTCACTATGGCCGGAGCCGAAGTAAAATATGTGACTAGGGGTCACTAAACCAGTAAGCTCGGTAGTGACGACCTGGAAGCAGGAAGCTCATTAGTGACGACCTGAAATCAGGAAGCTTGGTAGTGACGACCTGGAACCAGTAAACTCAGGAGTGACGACCTGGAAAACCAGGAAGCTCAGGTGTGACGACCTGGAAGCAGGAAGCTCCGGAGTGACGACCTAGAACCAGGAAGCTCAGGTGGGTTTCAACTCCTAATTCTTCATAAGAGTTTACCCATGTGGGGTCTTAGTTGTAATTCTTTGTGGGAGCCCACTCATGTAAGGTCTCAGCTCGTCGTTCTTCATTGGAGCTTTGTGAGTTCATCGTTCATGACCGGTCTCGCGGATGGCCGATCTGGGCAGCAAGAAACCACCTATAGAGCAGGCGAGAGCACGCTGGTGGTCCGGCAAGGCGAGCTCAGCCTGATTGGCGAGCTGAGCAAATGCGCGGACAATCTCGCCTGAGTGAGCTAGCGTATAGCGAACGAGTTGAAGAAGCTCGCCCGTACAGGTTGATATGGGTGATCTGGTTTGTAACGATCTGACCAAGTTTGAGATCTCTAGATAGACCGTGGGCCAGCAACGGGCAGGTTTCTCAAACTGTTCAGATTTTGTTACGAGCTGGTAGAAACTCTGCTGAGATCCTGAATTAGTTACGAGCTGGTCGAAATATCTGGAACAACGACGAGCAGATACGAGCTGATTTCTTGACCTTTTCAAATTTTGACTTAAGACAGATCTCTGAGGAAATTTTGTTACGAGCTGGTCCTTGGGCACTTTTTAAATTTCAAACCTGCGAAATCTCTAAAGAGATTTGGTTCAGAGCGGTTAGTATTCTCAATCCTCCCCTAATAAATGCTGGCTCGTCGTTTGAAGAGACGTGACAGCTAAAGCCGGCGGACGTTACACGCCCAGCAATAAGTGCTTGCCACGTGTAACGTTTTGACTTGTTGGCAGAGAGGCGCGTACAGCAGTGCTAGGCACGGTCACATAACCTCTCTGTTACCTCTGTTTCCATTTTCCAGTTCCATATTTTCTGTATTCTTCTGCAGCAAAGGACCTTCACAGCTTTCAGGCGATCTTCTCAAGGAGTTTCAGTACCAATTTTTCAGGTAATAAAAAATGGAATTTGTTAGTGAGGTAGGAGAACTCCAGGGTAACCAGGGCATGGACGGGGAAGAGAACGTGATGGCGGTAGAACCCATTACCATGATTGTACCACCGGAACTGCAAGACGTGCCGGAAACCCCTACGGCGGAGGGCAGTGCCAGTTCAGGGGCGCATGAGGATTCCGGTGCTAACCCCTCTCCGTCACCTGAAGGGTCGTCAACAGAAAACACTGCTAGTGCAAGTAGCACCCCGCCGGAAAGTATGGAAGTGGCCGTAAACATACCGCCGGTTGCAGGCTGGGAAAACAAAACCATAAGTGGTAGGTTAAGCAACCTCCGCAAGGCGCCGAATACATTGACGGCCGGATTTCGGTTTCGGGCGAGCCTGCATCATGAGGTAGCAGATTGTCCTACCTCCATTAAAGGGTACAAGAGGCTGGAGGAGGTAGTGAGACGATACCACGTTCCTAGGACAGTTTTGTTACGAACAGGGACCACAAATGAAAGGGCCTGCAGTGTGTCAGCAACAGGGTGGATACCTGTATATGTGGACCATTTCGATGCCGGCCTGAGGTTTCCTTTACCCGGGCTGATTTTCGACATTCTGTCAGAGTACGAACTGTCGCTCACACAGTTTACTCCCAACAGTATAAAATTCATCGTAGGGTTTATGTTGCTGTGTGCACGGCTGCAGATACCTGCGAAGGCCATTGTTTTCAGGTCGCTATTTTTGTGCCGGCTGAGCAGTGCACAGACGAGGTGGTACTACAT